CTTAAACGATTTGACCACCCGAGACACAGTTGTATGGGTGATTCCCAGTTGTCTTCCGATCCATCTCATGGTGGCAGTCGGATTTTCCATGACGGCGCGCAAAATTTTCCGGCGATTTTCTTCTTGTTTCGATGAATATCAATAACTACTGAACCGATTGTTATGAAATTTTGCACATGTAAACAATTCACTCCAAACTAGTTATAGCCATATTTTCATCAAATTTTACCCACGGATAAAAAAGTTACACACGGATAAAAATGGTGCATTTTTTTCGAGTACAAGCCTTATTAATCATGAATTGAACTGATTCCCTGGCGCTTACAATTTTAAAATTTTGAAAAATGCGGTGCGTTCCCGTTTTTGGTAACACGCAATTTCTGTCTTTTTTGCATCCTATAAAATGTATCGAACGCTTTATTTAATTTGAGATTGTACTGGACCACTCTTTATAAGTTTAGAGGTCCATGTGGTATTTCACAATTTTGGCTGCAGACTAGCTAATACGGCCAAAAATTTCCTTATGCAGCTATTGTGTGTTCGGTAGTACATATCTGAGGAAAGTAATAGCTGATGAGGTCGTGTTGAGAAAACCATGTAGACACCGTACCTGGTTTTTTTTTAAAATTACTGGGAAATCAGGGAATTTGGTTTTCTTCACTGAGCCGACACCCTGGTAAATGGCCATTATTTCAATGAAACTTTTAGATCTTTTCTGAGAGTTATTTAGATTTTAGATTGTTATAAACATCGGTGTTTAGCTCAAACTCGTTTAAGAGTCCAAGTAATTCAAAGGACATTGCACAGTGGTCCAGAATGGAGATTTAGGTGGAAGAATATGTTTTGACTCTGAAATTGAAACTGTGGACTAAAAATCACTTCTACAAAGTTGTTTTTTATAGTTAGGCCCTCATTTTTATGACAATGAATTCTAGAGTGGTTCTTATTATCATTGAAATCGCAAATCTAACTTTTGGGTTTTAAATAATTAAGGTATACACTCTTTGACAAAGTTATAGCTGAGCAAGTTTCAAGTAACTTTGTAATAACTTTTTTGTATCTCTTAAATTGACCGATTTAGAGCTATTTTCTTGAATTCAGTTAGGGTGTCTCTAAAAAACAGTTGTTTGCTTTAGTTTTCTTATTTTAAATTTCTAAGCAAAGATGTCTTCAAATAACTTATAAATCTTTTGAAGGCGCACATTTTTGCTGCACAGAGCTTGTCGATTTCTTTCGCCGATCAAGAGTTATTGACGTTTTTCTACTAGAATATGCTCTTTTCAAATGTTAATATCTCTGGTTGGGGCAAAAAAAAACATGAAAGTCATATTCGAAAGACTTTAAAAGTCTATAAGATGCACGTTTTATAGCAAAAGTTGTTGTCTGTATCTCTTCTAATAAAAAAGATATACCCAATCATAGTAAAAAAATGAATAAATTCGAATTGATTTTATACGAGTTTAAGAAAAAGCATACCTCTATTTTTTTCATATTATTGAGAATATCATACGCTCTTTCAAATGCCATTACCAACTTTGTCCCAACCTGATATGTTAACATTTGAAAAAACATATTTTTAGTAGAAAAATGTCAATAACTCTTGATCGGCGAAAGATATCGACAAGCTCTGTGCAGCAAAAATTTGCCTTCAAAAGATCTATAAGTTATTTCAAGATATCTTTGCTGAGAAATTTGAAATAAGAAAACTAAAGCAAACAACTGTTTTTTTAGAGATACCCTAACTCCATTCAAGAAAATAGCTCTAAATCGGTCAATTTAAGAGATACAAAAAAGTTATTACAAAGTTGCTTGAAACTTGCTCAGCTTTAACTTTGCCAAAGAGTGTATACCTTAATTTCTTCAAACAAAAAAGTTAGATTTGCGATTTCAATGATAATAAGAACCACACTAGAATTTATCAGCACCTAACAGAAAAAATCAGCGCCTAACTATAAAGAACAACTTTGTGGAATACACTTTTTGTCTAAAATTTCAATTTCAGGCTCAAAACTTATCCTTACACCTAAATCTGCATTCTGGACCACTGTGCATTGGGATGTCTAACGTTAAAAAAAAAAAACAAAATCTGAACATGTTCGCCTGATACTAGTTTTATTCATAACTTAGAAGTGTGCCAAAATTATATATGTACACTGGAGTCGCTTTTTACGCGGGTGATACGTCCCGCGTAAAAAAAAACCGCATAAATTCCGGAATCCGCGTTAAAAAAAACCGCGTAAATTCCGAAATCCGCGTAAAAAAACCGCGTAAAAAAACGTGTAAAAAAAACCGCGTAAAAAGCGACTCAAGTGTATAACGATAAACCACGTAAATTCTGGAATCCACGTAAAAAAAACCAAAATCCGCGTAAAAAAACCGCGTAAATTCCGAAATCCGCGTAAAAAAAGCCGTGTGAATTCTGAAATCCGTGTAAAAAAAAACCGCGTAAAAAATCGTGTAAAAAAAACCGCGTAAAAGTGACTCCAGCGATCTATATTAAAAGATTTGGTGGTATATTATAAATTATTTTTCATCAATTGTTATGCCGCAAAATATCTGTGATATCTTTAAAATTAACATTATACATTATTTACAGCAAATTTCCATACTTTTAAGTTTTGAACTGAATGCAACCAATGGCTGTCGAAAATTTATATCTTTTCCCAATGTACTTTGGATAAGGTGTATACATGCACGAGTTTGATATTTAAGTCCTAAAGATCTGAAAAACTCTCAGAAAATTTCTTTTTTGAATCATTACATGATTTACTTTTCCAAATAAAATCATGAATAATTTTTAAACAGTCAGTAATATGCGTATACTTTCATGAGCCAATTTGTTAGTGAAAAAAGTTCCTATGCATGAGCTGTGAAAATCGCTTACAACTATTATTTTGATACCTACTTTTGAGGATTAAATGCCAACAAAAAAACATAATTTTCAAAACACAAACAATTTAATTTAATTAAAAATTTAAGCATCTAGTAGGCCGTATCATTTTTTTTATCTTATAGTATTGACTCAAATGAATGTGTAAAAATGTAAAAGGGTTGGAATGTACTTAATTTTGATGCTTTACAAATATTTGTACAGTAATGACTATGAAAAATCGACTTTAATTAATAATCTCATCGGGCTACCTCTAAATCACGTTTTGAATAGTTACGAAAGTTTTTTTTGTAACACTCTTAGCTATGCAGATAATGTGTTGTTTTGGCCACCTTATTGAACATGCATGTTGAGTACTGATTGCTAAGCTTTACAAAAAAAAAGATTACATTTTCCGCTTCGAAATAGATTTCCTCGATGCTGAAAAAGTTAGATTTTAAAGCTAAATTGAGCAAGCAAAACGATTTTTTTTTTAAATGTCAGAGGTGCTGTAGAAAGTATCTAGACAGAAACCTTGCTTTTCTCAGTAGCTTTACAAATCAGAACTTTTGAAAAAATCGACACGGCTTAATATGGCGGAAACTATGTTGCTCTCACCTGTTGGTATACCGACAGCCCGAGCAGATGGCGTGACTCTGTCGAAAGACCACAGTTCGCCGATTTGTTTATTTTCAAACTTTGCTAATGTGTTCCAAATTGTTTCTTCTGTGTGCAACAACCGATTTGCATTCAACGATTTCGCCAAGGTTTCAAAAAATCACTCATACACTCGAGCTGGATTTCCCGCTGTGTAATCAAATTGAATGTGGGGCCACCCGGTAGTCTAGTCAAAAAAGCCGTGGATTGTATGGGGGGCAGTGGGTTCGATTATCGGCTTTCCTGGGCAAAAAAGTATCATTGTGTCATATTATATTTGCAGATGCCAAGCTCTAAAAGGGATGTGTATAGCCATCATGAAGAAGACGAATCAATGTGAAAATTAATTTTACTTCTTTCAATCAGACGGATAATTTTCACACCACAGATCGTAATAATAAAATTAAAAAATATCAATCTCCGTCATTCCTCACCACACTGTTCCAACTGCTGATGATCCCAAACGATGCTAGATTCCACTCGAAAATTCGCACAAACTTTCGGCAGCTTGGTGCCTTAATTAATGGCCAATAATAACGACCGAATGTGTTTCATACAGTCGAACAACTTCGTGGGATATAATTTGATTCATCTCTATGAAGAGCAACCGAAAGAAAGAAAGAAAGAAAAACAAGTGTGTGAGTACACAATTGCTGCAGCAAATCGCGCAAATGCAATCAAGAAATTTTTTTGGCATTTTTGAAATGGAGCTATCCGAGAGCTGATCAAAGTGAAATTGGATGAAAAACTGTTCAAATTTCGTAGGTCAAACGAAGTGGGGTGGGTGATAATCGCTCAATATGATGTGCATTTTGCGTTTCAAAAATGAATGGGTTGGATGGTTTTTGATTTTGGACCAACTCGTGGAAAACGTATGATTTGTCTGTTTTTCGTCTGATTCGTGATTGGGGTTCATGGTGAGGAGCCTCTGAAACGTAATTGGGAAGAGGGTTTTTATGCAGTCTGGGGCCTCAGATAGCCTAGTATGTAAAGGCACGGTATTGCCAAGCTGAAGGTGGCGGGTTCGATTCCCGGTCCGATCGAGGACATTTGTTGGGCTCGAAATTTTCTCGATTTCCTTGTTTTTGCCCAAGGAAATCGAGAAAATTTCGTATCATTGTGCTTGTCACACAATATGTCATGTATTGATTGGCATAGAAAGCTCTCCATTAATAATTGTCAAAGTGCCTTCAGAACACTAAGTTGAGAGCCGGCAAATCGGTTGCCAAAGAAGCGTTAAAGGGTTAAAATCGAAGGTGAATAAAGTGACTGGAAATGTGACTTCGGTTCGTCGAAGGGATAGTTTTTCGCGGTCGATAATTTTTAGTTAGTGCTTATTTACCCAGTGTTTTAATCGGAAGCTTATTAATTACACATGAACTTGTCAACGAGATGCTTTCATTAACATATAATTAATAGGTGTTTGGAAGGGTTTCATTTAAGTGATACATATTTGTTTTGTTTTTGTTTGCAGATGCTCCCAAATCACAGTGCTCGTCGTTGTCCGATGGCGAATCATTCGAGTGTTACGGAGAAAATGACATCTCCATATCGGAAAACGGGGGCGTGGACCTGGAGCTGGCTCCAACCCTCAATTCCACACCTGTTAGGTAAGTTTACCATTGCTTTACCCTACAACCAGAATCGAAGTCTCTATGCTTCGGTTTAATTAAATCGATTATAAACTTACGCACAGACATTACAATTATTTGCCATTATTGTAGCGTAAATCTTTTTGTTTCTAGCAAAGCATTAATTTTACCTTTTGTTTGCAATTTCTGCGCAACATTGCGTTTTCTTTTTTTCCTTTTCGATGCGACTCAACCCACAGCGAAAACAACAATAACAGTGGCACAGGCATCACCAGACACACGTGGAGCCGCATGAGCTTACGTGGTGCGCCTAAAAGGTATGCAACTTGTCTAGCTCCCCATCAGGAAAGCTCTACAGAAACACAAACAGCACGAACGCATCCCATTCACTTATATTGTCCGAATCACCAATACCATTACCTCTGAGAACTTTTTCCAAGCGAGCTTTTTCCACCCACTGGGTGCTCGTTTCCAATGTAGGCAAGCTTAATGTTTGCTCATCCAACCATAACCCTACATATCCATACCTACAATCATACCCTCTCCCCATATTCACACAACTTCACTCATTTATATCGTTTCCATTCTTTCTCTCTCTTCGTTTCTCAACAGCCAAAATAATGATAATCTGCCAAACCGGCGCTGGGGCTCGATGAGACAGTAAGCGATTTTTTCATATATTTTACATTACTTTATTTGCTGCTTTGTTTTTTTCACTCGTTCGCTTTTTTGTTTTTATTGTTCTTTGATTGCGTGCCTTACTCTTTATTGCTTATTTAGTGGTTGAGGTGAGTTTCGGGACAATGATAACTATAGTTATTTTTCTGTGGCTTTGCAATGGATCCCCATCTGTTTTTTTATTTCAAATTAATATCTAACTAAGTTTGTGTCACTGAATATTAAAAGTTCTTCTTTTTGGCTGTATTACGTCCCCACTGAAACTTTACGCGGGCTCTCAAATTAATGTTCTTTGAGCATTTCCAAAGTTGTTAATCAATTAGAAAAATTCCTAGCCCGGACCGGGAATCGAACCCAGCTACCTTTAGCATCGTTTTGCCTTATAGTTGCGCCTTTACCGACTGAGCTTCTCAAAGTCGACTTAAGTGCCAAACATTCATTTTGAAGGAAAGAATTTTTTGATTTTTTTTTGAATAGCAACCAAAAATAATCATCGCATTTCTATCTTTCTATCAGTTTTACAGCATAAATGATCGTACTGGCTTTATGGTCATTTTCATAGCAACAACTAATTAATATTTTTCAACATTTGGACTAGTAGATCCAAAATAAGGGCTATATAGGGGAAATGGATGTAATATCGGCCTAAATGCCCCTAATTTGGGCCCATACAAAAACTCAGAAATCGAATAAATAGCGACCAAAAATATCCATTAGTACCGTCCCAATGACGTGTTCATCTAGATAAAATTGATAAAAAGCAGATTTTTAGCGATGGGCAAAATCTCTGATCCATAGACCAACATTAAATCCATTTCCCCTAAGTTTTTTTTAATCTTTCATAGTAATTCCCATCCACATTGCAAACCATTTGCGCGACCTCTAAACCTTCATCAATCTGTGCCATTTTCTACACAGGCTCATATTTTGGGATTATGAATCGAATTGGAGGGTGGCCTATAAGAAATTTAACACTTTTTTTTTTTTTTTCAAAATGTGAACATTTATACATCTTAAAAAGTGAGTTGAAAATACTTTTATATGACTTTCTGGCTTTACAAAACGTCTTTATGACGAACTGAAAGCGTGTTGCCCGAGAATATGATTTTTCTACCTTTTGCGAGAAGTTGATACATACTAAGAAAAGGTTTATCATTTCATTAGAGTTGATCTAGTTAGGGAGCTACAAACCTACCACGTTAAATACCCATGTTTGTATCTCATACTCGGCTGTGTCTTAGTTTGTATTTGGATTATATTTTTTACCACTAAAGTTGATTGGTTATTATGATGATTTCAAAAACACCTACCCTGGTGTACCAGTTATGGCTATACGTTCCTATTATGGAATTCCCATAGGCCATAATTGGATCACACCATGATAGGAACGTATACCAGGCTGGTAGTGAGTCACTTTTTAGTGACTTGGTCACTTTTTTCATGCCAGTCACTAAAAAGTTTCTTTTAAAATACAACAGATTCTATTGTTGACAAGAAATCTTATTGTAATTCTATTGTATTGGTCATATAATCAAATAGTCACCACAATAGGTTTACAACAGATTGAATGAAACAAAATTTTGCACAATAAAAAAACAATAAAATTTATTGTAATGAGATCAAATTTCTTCGAGAAAAACTTGATTTTTTTATGGTTACGGTAACTTACAACCCCCCTTTTCTATTTTAATTGTCTTATTAACAATAGATTATATTGTACATAACAATAAGTTCTATTCTATTTTTATTGTTTTTGACAATAACATTTTTGTTAATACAGTAGGCTTTATTGCAATGTAACAATAAGCTCTATTGTTTTTGAATGGTAAATTTTTATTTGGGAAGTCACTAAAGTCACTTTTTCTTGTAATCAGTCACTATTTTCAACTTTTTTTTAGCGTGAATTAATTTCAAGATTGATCATTCTTTGCTTTGTGACGTTTAGTCGTCTTTCTCTATCTACAGGGTGTGTACTCATTTTTCTAAATAAAATTTCCTGAGTTTTCTAGGTTTTTCCAGAACTTTAATGTATGAATTCAAGGCTTATATTTAGAAAGCTATTTTTAAAATGCGTTCAAAATATGCTTTTTCTGGAAGATCAAAAACAACAGTAATTAATCCAATCGTTTTTAAGACATGGCAATAAGTTTTAAAGAAACAACTTTATAATCAAATCCACTGCACTAACTTAATTTCTCACTTTAATAAAGTTAAAATAAAACGTACTTAATTTGAGTAAGTCCAAGATCTAAAAACATTCAATGTCTTGTAGTTTCGTATTGAAAAATACTTGTTTCAAACCTTAAAATGACTATATCTTTTGATTCAGTGGTCCAAATGTCATAATTAGGTGATCAAAATGTGTGTTTTTTAAAGTTCTAAAAGTGTTTTCAAGAATAGTTTTCTCTAAATACAAAGCAAAAAAGGTTATGGTCAAAAAACTGTTTTTTCATGAATCACCCTAACCTTCTAGTTGTTTCAGTTAGTAGAATACATAGACGATGAGATAAAAATTTGAGGTCTTGGACAAAGTTGCTTGGTTTTGCATCCTCTACAACTTTGAAGAAGTAAAAAAAGTTCCCAAAAATTTCCCTGAAGAGTTAGATTTTTGAAGTCACTCTAAAACTGAATCAGCCTAATGAATGATCCAATGAAAAGATGCGCTTTTTCATTACCAACAATTCTTTTGGAGACATTAAAACGCTACAACCAGTATATTTTGCGAAAAACCCAATTTCCATGTATTTTGCCGCTCTGGACCACTGTGCAGTGTTGGGGAAGCAGCATATGCATGTATGTAATTGGTGGATTTGTTAATTATTTCGACGCTTTTGGACAATGCTTGACATTTACCGCTTTTTCAAAAGTTTCTTGAAGAAAATCAACAGTCGGCATTGCCATCTACGCCATCGATGCGTAGAAATATTGTTGATCGATTGGTGATAAAATTATTGAAATGGGGCCAGGGGCAGCTGAGTTATTAACGTTCAAAATCTTTCATAATTTCGTTACATGCTCGATTTTTTGTTTTCACAAAGTGTACCCCCATATAGAAATCACAGACGTACTCCTATGTCAAAAGGTCGGCAAGTTTCAAGAAAGTTCAGATAACTTCAGAGCCGTTCCATGACCATCCGAAATAAATTGTTTACTCAAGGAAAATCCCTAAACAAATTTAGGGAACTTCAGGTAAGCATAGTTCAGGGAAAATAAGTGAGCGTTTTAAATGGTTAGAATACTTAAGGAAAATTGTTGAAACTTCAAGGCAAATCTATTAATTTCAGCAAAGTTGCGGGTTCTTAAAATATACTGATCAATTCAGGGCTGTCTAGAGAACTTTAAAGTTATTCAATAATCGATTAGGTAATTTTAATAAGATCGGGAAAGTCTAGACTGTTGAAGATGTTTTAAATTAGTGTCAATAATTTAATGGAAGTTTCATGAACTTCAGAAAAATGATGAGAACTCCAGTGGAAATCATAAAACTATATTAATTATTTCGTTCTAATTCCATGAAAACTGCGGGAGCACAAAAGTTGCAGAAATTAGGAAAAAAATCGAAAACTTCACAGAAGGACAGTGGTCTTCAAAAACATTTCGAGAACTCCATAAAAATCAATGAAGCTTAAGAGGAGATCCGCGAACTTCAGGAATTTTTATGAACATTAGAAAAATGTGGCAAATTGGAGCAATTTCAGAGGAAGGTTAGTTCCATTAGTTTCAGAAAATTAGTGGAAAATTTAAAGCAGTTCCCAGATTTTCAGATAACTTCAGAGACGTTAAAAATTTAATTGAGGTCTTCGCATAAGTTCAGAAGTTCACTGAAGCTTAAACATTTGAAGGACGGTTCAATAAAATTCAGCGCAGTACAACAAGCTTCATGAGAACTGCAAAAACGTTAGAGCAGTTTTGAGAATTTCAAAAAAGAACAGATAACCTCAGAGCAGTTCCGTTAACATTAGAGAAGTCACATAAAGTTTAAAGAAGTTTAGAAAACTTTAGCGGATTGTTAAACCTAGAGAAGAGATTCATAATCTTAAGAAAAATTAAGGAAACTTTAGGAAGTCCTATTAAGTTCACTGAATTTGATGAGTAGTATTGTGAACATCATGCTAGTTTCTCAAACTACAAAAGAACTTCAAGGCGGATTCATTAACTTCAGGAAAAATTTGGGAAGTTCTCAGAAAAGTCCATTTCATATTCAATGGAAATTTCGATGAAGCTATCCTCCGAATTCAATTTTCTTTTAGTTTTCCTCGAAATTACCTTGAAATTCTCCACAATATGACACTCTTTGAAATGGTTATCATTGCATTCATTTCAGATTTCCTTTTGAATCACACACCTTTCCTTGGAATTCTACTCACATTGAAAGTCTCCCAAGAATGCATTGGCATTTCTACTCACAAATTTCTAGATTTTTTCTCATAATTTGTTTGGCAAACTCTCCTGAATTTATTTTCCGACTTCCTTTGAAGGTGTCCTGGAGTTATTTTCAGATTGAATTATAGTCCTTCTTTTAGCATTAAAAAAAAAACCTACGACTTATGCTCCGAATTTGTTTTCTCCCTCAAACTTTATGTAATTATCATCAGAATGTCCTTGGCAATTTTTTTTATGAAGTTCACAGGAGTTTACTATGGCATTCGGCCGATTAAGCAAGTACTTCTTCTGTTTTACAAACCCTCTTTAAGACGAACTGAATACGTATTGCATGAGAATGTGTTTTTCCTACCATTGATGTGAATCTTATAAATACTATGGAATGGTGTATCATCAATTGGAGTTGGACCAAAAAAATGTGGAGTTGATAAGTGAATGAAAATAATCATGACGAAAAAAAAAAGGCTGCCGGCTGGACTAGAACAACGAACGTTGTGTTTATCAGACCTATGCTTTCTCCGCTGCTCTCTCCATGCTTCGGAACAAGGATAGCCTAAAAGCGAATAAGAAGCGCTCATCCCTAGTAGCACGCTTGTCAC